CCATCTTTATCGCAAACTCCAAGACGACTCAGTTCTTCATCGGCATTCTGCCTTTCTTTCCCTTTTTCTTTCATTAAGAGCCCTTGGGACCCCCGGCTTCTGTCCGGCCTCGAACCCTTTCGCCCTTTCTGGGAGTCATCGAATTTTATCGCCAGCGAGCCCGTCGGTGACCTATATACCGTCGCCATTCGTGCGCCTGATGTCTTTGGTTTGATTTCTTCTCCAATCAGCGAGGAATCCCTAAAAACAGTGGGCATCATCCCATTTGGTTAGGGGGCTGAACAAAACCAATCCCGCGTCGGACATCGTCAAGGTCCTCGCCTTTTGCATCTCTTCGCCCCTATATGCTATTTTGCATATCCCGGCTCTACTACATTTAGCACCTCGTTTTTCCCGCTGCGTATTCCCGTCCGTCATTCACCATGCGGGAAGTCAACTTTAGTATCCCCAATGTGAACAAGGCCTCGGTCAACATCACAACAACCCTCTATGACCGCCGTGCCCTTGACTGCACATCGACTCTACCGCTCATCAACTCTCTTAACCACCTTGCGTACCTCACAACCTCCTCCGCCCGGATTCGAGATATTCTCACCGTCGATGGCGGCATCGAGCGACTCGTGTGCATCCTTAAGGAGGGCCGAAGCAAAGATTTGATGGAAATGTGGAAATGGAGCCTCGCTTTCCAGTGTGTCGTGAACATTGGCGTGCGTGGCTCCGAGGGTGTCCGGACTCGAGTTGTTGAAGCCGACATGGTGCCGGTCATCGCCACCATTCTCAGCAACTACATCAAAGTGGTGGACAAGGTGCGATCTCGCAATGGACCATCAGCCGACACCGAGGACAAGGAGAATGAGGAGTCGTCCAAGGATGCCAAATCCAGAACCCACACAGAGCCCTCTACTCGATCAACCCGTTCCACCCGTTCCACGCCCGCCTCAGCGGATACCCAGATCGAGTCACACTCCCAAGCCGAGTCACACCATTCTCGCCGACAAGCCCCCCCTCCGAGTATCGAAATCCCACAGCCGTTCTATCAGGATAGCCAGCCCACCGATTCCGATGCCATGGATGTCACGACTTCTCCTCCCCGCGCGCCCATGACATCGCCCCCCGAACGCAGTACCTTTGGCCAGGAGGCCCACAACCACGGGCGATTCCCACGGGCTGGCCATAGCCTGCGGTCGATGCAACCTCTTGCCACCGCCGTTCCCACTATGGATACCGCAGATGGATTTGGACTGCGCCCTGTGCGGGACGCTGAGCGTCTTCCTAGCATGCTTCCTGGTCTGCAGACTGGAATCGTCTCCCAACCCGACTCCCCGACCACTCCAAGTGGATCTCTCCACGCACAACCCCGCCACCTACAAACAGCCGCCGCTAGACAACGCCCTTCAATCCGCCAGCAGATGTCGGCGTCCGGGGAATCGGACGACGCCAATGGCGAGGATTCTACCATGGGAGAAGATAGCACTATGGGACAACCCGCTGAAACTATCGTCGGACTTCCCAATCGGATGGAGCTTGACGATGCTGATGAGAATGAGACAACGATGATTGATGATATGTCTACCACCCACGACCTGACAGTGACCGATCCCTCTGAGGAAGGTGGCCAGGAAGTGGAGACCTTCAACATCGCTCATCGGTCTGTCGATGGCAGCATCATTAATAACGAAACCACCCAGGCCAATGGCGGATTGGGTCTTTCTCCTGCGCAAGCCACAAACAACCCTAATTCTCCTACCCTCGCCCCCAGCCCTTACGCCTTGTACCTCCGTGACCGAAGTGCCCCCGCAACCCAAGGAGTGCTGACAACCATGCCTCGTGATGAGGACGTCCTGATGTCCTTGCAGCTCTTGGCATACGTCTCCAAGTACTGCAACCTCCGTGAATACTTCCAGTCCTCGCATCTTGTCCCGAAGTTGAAGATTGATCGTGAACTCCATCTCCTGGATGAGAATGCTGATCTTTCTTCGCCGGTCGAGTTCGAGGAGGAAGAGGAGTACCTGCTTCCCGAAGACCTCAACATCTTTCCCTTGGTGGAGAAGTTCACTGTTCGACATCACTCCAAGGACATGCAGTACTGGGCATGCGTGGTCATGAGAAATCTCTGCCGCAAGGATGAAGCGAGAGGTGGCATTCGCCAGTGCGCCTACTACAAGTGCGGCAAGTGGGAGGTGTTCCAGCGTCAGTTCGCCAAGTGTCGGCGCTGCCGTCGCACCAAGTACTGCAGCAAAGACTGCCAGAAATCAGCATGGTTCTACCACCGGCACTGGTGCCACACGACCCCTTGATACGACACAATCACCTGAAAGGAGTTTCATTTTTGATTTCCATGCATACCGGCTCGCATAGCGTCATATCCGTCACGCGTCTCCCTTATTCTGTTCCAAGGTCTCACATCTCCCTTGCGCATGGCATTTCAAAATCTGGCGGCGTTTCCAATTCGACCCGAAGATACCTCTTACATGTTGTCTGGCATTATTTTCTTTCTTATTCCCTTTCTCGCACAGCTTGCCTTGCATCTTGGTTTATTGACGTGAGGCCCTCATCTGCGAGCCATCCTTTTCATTGCCCATACCATTTTCTTTTAAACCATCTGTCATGACTGTACATCTCATTCTCGCGCTGGGAATTCTTCCCTCTGCTTTCGTCCCCTCGGGGGCTATTACGTTTTCGCTCATAACTAATTGTGTGCTGTCACGAGTTTCTTATTTGTCAGTAGATGGGCAGCATTACCGACAACTTCAGCCGCATCCCGGCCTTCTGAAGCATTTCAATCTGGTGCGCATCTCATCTATGATTCTGATTTATGTTGGAGGTTTCTCTGCTGTGTATTTGCACTTTGCCACAACGGCACCGGCGTTCCATAATCCATTCTCATTATTCAATCATTCACTGTTTCCTGCAATATGCTTGAATACATAAGCCCGTAAGCTAGTAGCTAGTGTCCGTAACAAATCGCATATCCTATACCACACCACATATCACATATCACCCCCTCATTCATCCTTCTTAAACCCGTAAGTAGCCTCCAACCTAGACATAAGATGCTCATGAGCAGTCAAAGGCCTCTTCCCAGCCTCCAAACTCCCAGCGCCACCCCCAAACCCAACAATGCCCCCCTCCCCAATGCCCCCAGTCCTCTCCCGATGCAAACGAACAACCTCCCCAGGAACAGGAACCAACTCCGTCGTATCAACTGGATGACAAAAGTAAACAAGCGTGTACCTATCCTGAGGATCCTCACTCCTCTGCTCAGCTAACGGAAAAACAACACGGTGCACTGTCGACTTGAGCAACCCGTCCGTCCAGTAACTCAACAGATCACCGATATTCACCAGGATTGGTGGGAACGGGTACTTCTTCTTCTCTGCCTCGCTGCCATTGCCGGGGATGATGGGAACGGGTGCCCAGGTCTTTTCCGGTGTTAGGATTTCTAAACCTGGTTGGCCCGGTCGTTGGAAGAGCAGGGTTACACTGCCGTAGTCGGAGTGTGCGCCTGCTCGCACATCTTTGTCGTGTTTGTAGCTTTTTGTTGCTTCGCTTTTTAGGGATGGGTAGTATAGGTAGCGGAGGATGCTGCCAGTTGGACCTGTTGTTGGGTCGTGCCGGATTGTGAAGAAGTCTTCGTTTATCTGTGTTGTGTTAGTGTTGGTATATATAGAGGGGAGGAGGATGGGGTTGCGCACTTCCAGGCCCAAGGCTAGTAGAGTCAGGATTCGGGTGCAGGTCTTGTTGCAGAGACCGGCAAAGTCGTTGATCTCGCTTTCGTGTGGCTTCAGTGAGGGTGGGAGTGGTTGTTGGGCTTTGCCGTCTTTGAAGTCGCCGAAGTTCATGGCTCTGTTTGAGGGCTTAGCCAATGTGCCGGTTGTTAGTTAGTAGTTTAGGTTTGGCTGCATACTCTTTGAAGTCGCCTGTCTGTTTTCATAGTCAGTATCGTGATGTGTACTCTATGGAGTAGGGATACAAGTTGTGACTTACCCGTTGATGCTCGGGATCTAGCGTTTCGATATGCATGCCAGACCAACCGCGATTCTAGTGAGGTCAGCCTCTGTTTGGCTGTCATATATATGTATGCTGTAGGCTCAAGGTGTCACACATTTGGCTCAATCCGGCATGTTTCCTTCTCAGCTGCGGGAGATGCAAAGAACTTCTTTGACTATATAGACAGTTAGACATCATATATATCGTCATAGAGGTATAGGCTTACCAGTTCAAACCCATGATCCACATCTTCAGCAGTAAAGTCAGTGCCCTTGCTGTTGACATACAGGAAGCCATACTTGGCGGCGGCATCCAGCATTGCCTTCCCCACGGCGGGGTCGTGGGGATTGGAGATGTCAATGACAGGGAGCTCGATTGGGGTTGGTTCGGCCATTTTGACGAGGTTTAGAAGAATAGTTACAGACTGGAGGCTTAGGTGAATATATATAGAGAGATGTGTTGGTGGGCCCGCGTATCGTCAATATAAATTTGGCCAATCCAGTTGTCTCTTCACTGGCTCGGCTCTCTTAGTTTCACCCTTTCCGAGCACAGGCGACATCCGACTACCTAGGAGTAGATAACCCTAAATATCATGATCTTAAACGTAATTGGATCTGTGTGATATGACTTCTACCGTGCCTGTTTCTATTTATACAAGTAGCTTCCAAGGTTAGATATGGAGATTGGAGATGACTTCATGATTATGCGCCCACATGTGCTGAAATCTAGCATATTTCAACTAACTACAGTAAATAATAAGGGAAAACAACCATACTGTAGTGGCATAGTAGAAGGGGATGTGATACAGGCAAAAAAACAGGCTAACTCCGCCTTCCCTTCCCCCTCGTGCTCACCCTCTCCAACCCCAACCACCACAGCTTTCGTCGCATTCTCGAGCTTTCGATCTGCTCTCCTGACCTTTTCATATCTATCGCTATCTATCGCCTGTCTTCCCTCTGGGCTCTGCTGTCCGGCGCCGGCCGTTCTTTTAGCCCGTGACAGCTCCAAACATGCCGAGTACCAACCCTGAGCTCCACGCAATCGCATCAACTAACCTCAATCCTCAATTAGTCCGTCCTTTTGATGAATGGGCCGTGACCCGCGCACAATCCCTCCCCCTCTCAGCTTTGAAGGGGGCTATCGTCGGTATCGATGCATCGCACTACATCAACCAACACCTTATCAACCAGTCAACCCGCGAAGCCCTCCTGGGCGCACTCGGCGGCTTCCCTTTCGCCCTGAGGACCAACATCGAGAAGGAACTACAGACTTTCAAGAGCCTCAGCGTCGCCTGCATCTTTGTATTCAACGGCCTTGATTTCGGCAAGAAGGAACAGCGCCCCCAACCCACATCGCCGCGGTCTTTCGAACAAGCCTGGGATCTTTATGACCAACAGCAAGCCGATCAGGTTGTCGACGCTTTCAGCAGTGCTGGTATGATATCTTATTATTCGTCTTTTTTTCCTATCGGCAGTCCCTCGTTCTCCCCCATCCACTGGACTCGACCAAGCATCCCAACAACCGCTGACCCGAAGCAACCCCCAGGAACCCCACCCCCGGAGACCCTCTTCAAGTTCCTGCAACGGATCTTGACCCAAAATGGTGTCGAATTCATGGTCGCGCCCTACAGCGCCGCGGCTCAGGTGAGTAGCCATTGTGTCATGGCCGGGAATGTAATCTGACCAATGCATCCGAGCAGCTCTCCTACCTTGCCCGCGGTCCCAACCCTGTAGTCGATGCCGTGTACGCCCCATCCGAAGCTCTTCTGTTTGATCTTGACAAGCTGGTCACCCGCATCGACACCGAACCCGCGCAATTCTTCTGGATCACGAAACAAACCTGCCAGGAAGAGCTGGGTCGACTCACAAATGATCAATTCCTGGACTTTTGCTTACTACTCGGATCTCCCTTCCTGCGTTCTTTCCCGCTTTTCGAAAACCCTGCCTATCCTGGCAAGAGCCCCAGCATTCGCGATGCTTTGCCAATGTTCAACCAAGCCGGTCGAAGTGCCTTGGCACTGTGCGCCCAGTTTGAAGATGATCGTCGCATCCAGGACATTCAGTATGGAGATCGATACAAGCGCGCATACATGATCGTGAAGCATCATGTATACATGGACGTAGACGGTCGTGTCGGACCCATGGACCCGGAGAATATTTCGTCAGACATGCACGAACTCATCGGACAGCGGCTCCCCGAAGAGCTGTATTTCTATCTATCCAAGGGCATTATTAGCGCCGATGTGCCGAACTTCCTTACATCTGGTGAGGTGCGCGCCTCATTACCGTTAGGCACTGAAGATACCGAGATCTACCGCTCGCTCGTGGGTGACATTTTGACACCTATCCGGACTCAGTATATCTGTTTGCTAGCGAACTCGCTTCACCGTTTCTACCAGACTAAAGTGATCACGATTCATCCGTGGTTCGACGACAGTTCAGACAGAACAATTAACCTCAAGGGCATTCCCTCGGTCAAGGATACCATCCAGCCTTGGAAGATCCTGGGCGAGAAAGCCCCTGAGAGTGTCAAGAAGCTTCAGGCTCCTCGTGGATCTTTCAAATTTGCTGTGCAAAGCTTGAACGACTCTGACTTTGTGTCCAAGTCTTTTGCTACTAAGGAGTCACCAGTATGTTATCCAAATATGTGACGCTGATCAATTGCTAACCAAGACCAAAGCGCCTTTCATCGCAGGAGGATATCTTATCTAATGTTATGTGGCGCTTCTTGCAGCTACGCGGATATGTTGACGACAAGCACAATCTCACTACGTGGGGTAAGAGTCTGGAGCAGGCATTGTCAGCTGTGGATCCCGCAGACAACCTCGAGGAGGCTATCTTCATCGCTTTCGAGATGCTCCGCCTGGATCTTCTCAACACCAAGCCCTGGTTCTCGCAAGTATCTGGCGGTCCCATGCGAGGATCAGAAGAAGATAAGACTTTCAACATGCTTGTTTCCCGTGTTGCATGCGTTGGCAAATTGCAGCACAAGAGCATTGGATATTCTGGTCCCCTAAGCCGTCAGCTTCTTTGCTACCGCTCCTTGATCTCCGAGGTCCGCTCTGCGCTCAGGAACCTGGTTGAGGTGGTATTGACTGGTATGTTGCTCGGTGGTGATGCTGACCGGGATCGTAACGACTGGAATGAGATGGCTATCAAGTACGTACCCAAACCCCCAGTGATTTATATATTCTAACATACCTATTTAGGCTTCCCTTCATTGATGATAACGACTGTGGACTTGGAATTGCAGTCCGGACCTACCTGGACGATCTTCCGTTGCAAGCAAATCCAACCTCTCCCGAGGCCCGTGCCGATGTGAAGGCAAAGGGCAAGGAATGGTTCCAGCACAGCGAGAGCTTCACTGGGAACTTGGATCTGGCCTTCAAGCTATGGGATGCGGTAAGTGCTGATAGAAGGTTCGATGTCGGACAAAAACTGACGTTTGATAAAGGTCTACAAGGGAGCACACAATGCGGGCAAGGATTTCGCGGATGTGAAGTTCTGGGACGACGCGAACAAGTGGCTCTCGGAGAGACGATGATCTGATTAAGATCAAACAGCTATAACAACCAACCACGGGGATCTCGGGCTGCAGGGCTCGCAGTTGAGAATCACGCCAGAAATTCGCATCGTGATGCCTCCAAAAATGCGATACCGGCAATTCTCTAGTGTATTACTATCTAGTAACAGACTAAAAAAAACTAAGAAAATATGAGAAACCCGATCCTATCCAGACACTTATATTGGCCGATGTCGTATTGTAGAGATCGATGATCTGCGGGTGGAGACACCAAGTGGCCTCTTCCGTATTGTTTTGTCAGCCAAGCGTTAACTTCAGGACTCCGCCAATTCATTGCTCACTTTCTCCAAAAATCCCCAAACACATTCACAATGGCACGCCTGAGCTTCCTGCTGGTCGGTGCCCTCACAGCCCTCAGCGGCTTCGCCAACGCAAGCTCCGCCGTCAAAGACCTACTCCCCAGCAACTTCGATGATGTCGTCCTGAAGTCCGGCAAGCCCGCACTCGTGGAGTTCTTCGCTCCCTGGTGTGGCCACTGCAAGACCCTCGCCCCGGTCTACGAGGAGCTCGCCCAGACCTTCGCCTCCGTCCAGGACAAGGTCACCGTCGCCAAGGTCGACGCCGATGCAGAGCGCTCTCTGGGCAAGCGCTTCGGTGTCCAGGGCTTCCCCACACTGAAGTGGTTCGATGGAAAGAGCGACAAGCCCGAGGAGTATAAGGGTGGCCGTGATCTTGAGTCTCTGTCCGCTTTCATTACCGAGAAGACCGGCATTAAGCCTCGTGGCGCCCAGAAGGAGCCTAGCAAGGTTGAGATGCTGAACGATGCTACTTTCAAGACTACTGTTGGTGGCGATAAGGATGTTCTGGTTGCTTTCACTGCGCCGTGGTGCGGACGTGAGTTATACTGCCCATCTATCTAGCTCTCTATTTATCTTCAGATCTGGTCTGGACTGATCTGATCTAATTGTTCATCCGCTAACCATCCCAATCACTCTAAACAGACTGCAAGACTCTCGCCCCAGTCTGGGAAACCCTCGCCAACGACTTCGCCCTCGAGTCCAACGTCGTGGTCGCAAAGGTCGACGCCGAAGCCGAGAATGCCCGTGCCCTGGCCAAGGAGCAAGGCGTGACCGGATACCCAACCATTAAGTTCTTCCCCAAGGGCTCGACTGAACCCCAGGCCTACTCCGGCGCCCGCTCCGAGGAAGCCCTGGTCAAGTTCCTGAACGAGAAGGCCGGCACACACCGCGCCGTCGGTGGCGGTCTCGACGAGCTCGCTGGCACCATCGCTGCCCTGGACAAGATTATTGCTGAGGGCGTCGCCGCTGGCAAGCTCGACAAGCTCGCTGCTGATGTTAAGAAGGCTGCTCAGGGTCTGCAGGATAAGTACGCCGAGTACTATGTCAAGGCTGCCGAGAAGCTGAGTAAGAATGGGGAATACGCCGCTAAGGAGCTCACTCGTCTCCAGAAGATCCTGGCCAAGGGTGGTTCTGCTCCTGAGAAGCTGGATGATATTCTTTCGCGCAGTAACATTCTCCGTCGCTTTGTTGGCGAGGAGACGCATGATGAGCTTTAAACGACTTGTTCGTGTTTGGATGTTATATTCGTTTGGGATTTCTTGGCTGGAAAATTTCTATTAAGCCTGGATTCCTGTTGACCATGTTGGATTCAGCCTATGAAAATATTGGCTTGATGTTGTATACTGTATGAAATGAGAAATCAAGTACCAACTCAAGGCTCTTGCCTTTACGAGTATACTGCGAGTGTACACTGGTACATGCTATGTGAATAGATCATAGATCCATGATTCAAAGGAAACAGATAAGTTTCTTCCGTATGAGGCAATCCGTTGTTTGATAGTAGGGTATCTTGAAATCGAATCGTAAAGCATAAGAAAAAGCCGCATAATAGCAGATGCCCATGCCGGTATCAAGAAAGAAGAAAGCAGTATGCTATGAATATGATACAGGAACCAAATTGGAACCTGATTAACAAGATGTGCAGTACTGATCGCCCTGCCGCCACCTAACGCCATGCGAAACAAAAAAAAGCCCAAGGAAGCCGAGACGAAGTCGAGCTGGAGTATGGACAAGTGGCGAGTATGCTTATTTGATTGGGGTTGGGGTCGCAGAAGAATCGGAGGATGCAGTGAGAGAAGCCTCTAGTTCGTCGAGGCGTTTGGTCATATCGTCCACTGTATAGGTATGGCGTCTCCGGTTAGTTATTGTCGCAATTGGAGGTATAGAAGGAGTGTGTATAGATGGATGGTGGTAGAGACGTACGCTTTGCAAACATCTCTGTGGAGACATTCTCGAACTTGCTTTGGAGCTGGTCTAGCAATTCGTCAACGGCCGCGGTAAGCTGGCCTTGGGCATCAGAGTTCTGGAAGGTCACTTGTTTAGTAAGGCGAACAGTGGATGCAATTCCCGGATGTTACATACCGGTTGAGACAGAAGAGACTCGCCCTCTGGTGCTGGGGAGAGCTTCTCTGGAGAGGGAGACTTGGGATCTTCGGCCATTGTGGACTATGTACAACTAGGACAGGCTGCTTGGGAGGCAAGTAGACCTCGGGAGATGAGGGCTCCGGGCTCCCGCTGGTAATGTATCTACCGCCTTCCTATTACGCACTAGATCTGCCTTGCTCTAGAGAGCTATAGTGTGAGTATACTATTAGGAGATTACCTTTTTGACACGACTAATTTGCATAATTTGAAGGAAATATGGGGTTGAATGTTCTACTTTACTATCCCTATATCCAACAGCGCAATATCTAATATATATAGAGAGAGAGAGAGAGAGAGAGAGAGGAGACGACGTCAAGAAAGAGGACATGGAGAGTTGGAGAGTGTATTCCAAGCATACAATTGCATTGATCTCACTTGTAGTGCAGGTTTTATGGGCTATTGGACTTATTGTATCTGGACTGGTTCTTCCACTCTTCGAGGATCAGCCGCTGTTTTCGCCCTATTTTGGCCTCTCTTTTTTCACCTCTTTTTCACCCGTTTCCATATGCCTCGGGTTACAGTTGTTTAAAGATGGTGGGTTAATCATGTAGGAGTGTGAAAGGACTTATGGCCTATGACTTTAGTACTGTAGTGAGCCATGGAGTTATAGGACTTGATAAGCTACCGGATCAACAGTATTCCCGGTATATTACCACAAATGGACTAGCGGAGTCTTATCGGTCACGCTAACCCAGTTAGGACTGGCGCGATTTTAAAAAAATCCCGTGGACTCTGATGCGGGTTTGATACCGACTCGTTTCCTCTCTTGTCAATTCCTTTCACATCCCCCAAATACCATTATCTTTTTGTTTTCTCACAAAAAGACACAATGGTTAAGCGCAGCAAGCTCATGCAGGCGCTCGACGCCCACAAGGGTCGGGACTACGAGGCCGAAAAGCAGAAGAAAATGATCAAGGCCGCCGAGAAGAAGAAGGCCGGCAAGAAGGCTGTTGCCACCCCTGAGGACAAGGTTTCTGAGCAGAAGGAGGAGCAGGAAGAGGCTGAGAGCTCCGAGGCCGAGGAGGAGGAAGAAGAAGAGGAAGAAGCCGACGAGGATGAGGAAATGGAAGACGAGGAAGCCGAAGAAGACATCCCCCTCTCTGACCTCGAAGAAGACGAGCGCGAGGACGTCGTCCCTCACCAACGCCTTACAATCAACAACACTGCCGCCATCAAATCCTCCCTCAAGCGCATCTCTTTCATCTCCGCCCAGACACCATTCTCGGAGCACAACTCGCTAGTGTCGCAAGAGCCCATCGATATCGAAGACCCCAATGATGATCTGAACCGCGAGTTGGCCTTCTACAAGGTCTGCCAGGCTGCCGCTACCACTGCCCGTGGCCTGCTCAAGAAGGAAGGCATTCCCTTCACACGGCCGGGCGATTACTTCGCAGAGATGGTCAAGGACGACGAGCACATGGGCAAGATCAAGAAGAAGCTGTACGAGGAGGCTGCCGGCAAGAAGGCCGCCGCTGAGGCTCGTCGCCAGCGTGATCTGAAGAAATTCGGCAAGCAGGTCCAGAATGCCAAGCTGCAGCAGAGACACAAGGAGAAGCGCGAGATGTTGGAGAAGATCAATACCCTCAAGAAGAGTACGTACCCTCTATATACCTATGTAACAGTCCCAATTGCTAACCTACTTTCTCACAGAGCGCAAGGCTGACAGCTCTGCTCCTACCGATGACGCTAACGACATGTTCGACGTTGCCATTGACGAGGTTGCCAAGACCGAGAAGCGTGGCAATGGCGAGGGCGGCACTCGCAGCTCTAAGCGTCAGAAGAAGGATGCCAAGTTCGGATTCGGTGGCAAGAAGCGCCATGCTAAGAGTGGCGATGCTACCTCCAGCGGTGACCTGTCCAAGTTCTCTGCTAAGAAGATGAAGGGTGGTGCGAAGCGCCCTGGTAAGAGCAAGAGACACGCTGCGAAGGGTCGCAACTAAGGGCTTTTGTTGACTGCATTTGTACTTGCATCCTGTAATTATTTCTTTTTCTCTGGGTCTGGATAACCAAAAAATGGCAATTTTGATTTATTATTTCCATGCTTGTGAAACAAGACTTAACGTTATACGTATTGTCTGTCGCTCTTTAGACCTGTAATTGGACTCGCTGCGCTCAATTCCTTTGCAGGGCAAAGTGACACAGCTCAATCCCCAAGCTAAAATTCAAGAGACAGTTGAGTCATTACATTGATAATAATACAGATGGCGAGTATATGTACAGGATCTTTAATTTTCTTCAAGGCTCTGCCTCAAGTCTATTGCTGAGCAGCCACAGCCTCGGCGTTGTTGGCTCTCTTCTCCTCCCACTCGCCTAAGAACTTGGCAACCTTGGGTCCCCAGACTTCCTCGCCAGCCTCGAGGTCCTTATACTCCAGTACCTTCTCAGGGTCAAGCTCGTAGTCACCCTGGCGACTCCGAATCAACTCGCTCATGTACGCAGAGCTGCCGACGGCTTTGCCCAGATCATGCGCAAGCGAGCGGACATAGAAGCCTGAAGTGACAGTCATCTTAATCTTCACAGCCGGGGTCTGGGTCTTCGTCTGCTCCGTAGACGCAGCAGGAGTCTCCGTGGCCGCAGGCTCGGCAGCAGCTGACTCCGACGCCGCGGGTGCCGCCTCGGTCTCCGACACCTTCTGCTTCTTGCTAGCTTCAGCGCTATCCTCCTTCACCTCATCCGAAGGAGGCGGTGACTTGCGCTTGGTAGAAGATGAAGCCTCAGCCTCTTGACCGGCAACGTCACTCTCCGTCGATGGAGCGGCAGGCACCGAAGCATCCTTATCAAGTAGCTTCTCAGCAACGATCTTCTCATCGCCGGTCATCTCCTGCTCAGGGAACTTGAACCCATGTGTGCCAGGCTCATACCACTCCACAATCTCCATCTCCAAAACCTCAACAGGCCGATGCTTAATCTCAATAGGCGGCATTTTACCCTCACGCGCATACTCATAGAGCTTCTTGCCATCAACCCGCAGTGCAGAGAAAATAGGCGGCTGCTGCATGATCTTCCCACGGAATTGAGCAAGCGCCTTCTCAACAGCTTCACGGGTGACATGTTCGTAAGGGGCCCGGCGGACGATTTTCCCAAGGCGGTCGTAGGTATCCGTCTCAGCGCCGAAGCCAACAACAGTCTCGTAGCTCTTCGTGCAAGCCAGGAAATCCTGCAGCGACTTCGTGCCCTTTCCAATGCCGGTTATGAGCACACCCGTCGCGAGCGGGTCTAGGGTTCCGCCGTGGCCAATCTTGACGTCTAGGCGCTGGTGGCGGCGGCGTTTGCGCTGGAATTTGCTTTCACGTTCGCGGCGCGCGCGCTCTTCCTCTAGCCATGGCTGGAATGTTTTCGAGGGGTTGAAGTGTTTTTGGAGGGTGCGGATCACGTCGGCGGAGGTGACGCCTTGCGGCTTGTGGACGGCTTGGGGTGATGTTAGATTGGTGGCTCTTCAGGTGGGTTCGTATGGCATTGGAGCTTACCAAAGACACCTTCGAGGATCTTCTCGCCGGACATTGTTGTGCGGAATAGTCGGAAACCTGGTGGGAATGGCATCTGGGAGGTGGTGGTTCCAAGGTGGGAAAAGATATTTTGGTGATCTGGACCCGCCTTGGCGTATCAGAGCAACTACCAATCTATACAATGTTCTATAAGGTAACCTATAGGTATTTTTGGGTGTGAATATATACCCCAAGAGATATACATAAGGGTAATTCAGATGAGCATGTCTCGAATATATCTTTATCCGTAGTGAGCTACATCGCCATTGATCTACACACTATTTGTGGTGAGATATAGACGACGAGAATCACCGAGTAGCATTTCTTTCTAATCAAACGATAAATTCCTTTTCCAATTGAATGATTAGATAAACCGTAAAAATGGATATTTCAGTAGCTTACGAACTCTTTCTATTGTCTCCAGAGCCATGAAAGCATGTAACTGAGAAGCTGTTCTATCTCCGAAAGAGCCCAAAATCCCTCCCTCGTAAGCTTATATGCGAGACAGATATAGTTACCTTTACGTCGCTAGTTACAAAGGATTCTAGGAGGGCAATAACATTAAATATTCACGGTTGATGGATCTTCCATCGCAATATGCTCCTCTATCTCACGTTCGTCGAGGGTACTAGATTATTTGATACAACAGGGGTCATAACTGTGTATATGCAGTGCCACTGATGAAATATTGGACAGTCTCTACACGAGAGTCTTGAAGTAAATATACCGTTTCATGCATTCTCTCGCCCTCCTTTAGCCTCTCTTTTTTTCACCTCTTTTTACCCATTTTCGAGGAGTAAAGATTGGAAGAAGCTTTTTGTATACTGAAGGTAAGTATCACCTCAGTATTCCTGTCAAATTCATCTTAAGGCAGAATTTGTTCGTTTCTTGGTTACAGATTATATCGGCACTCGATAAGACGGAATTGTAGACATGAGAAGAACCTTTGGGTTCAAGATGTAACTGTGAAAGAATATTTAGTTTAGCACAAAACCAGAGGTAGTGCAGCTTCTGCCTGAGACATCTAGGTCAAGATGTTCCAAGGAATAGACACTATCTACGACATCCTTTCAGAAATATGCAAGCGTCTTTTCTTTCATCTCGGAATTGAGCTTCTATTCTTTGTTGGGTTGTTCTTAAGGTGAGATGGGGAGTTTATGACGGATGCTCAAGATTTGCACACATAATTGGAAGTTATTCGTTGAGTATCGTATTGAAATTGAGCTCACAATAACGTTTGCCTTTTATATTCATTCTGAGTTTATACTCGACCGCTCGAACCTTAAAATGGGATGCACGTGATTATTGCCTGACACATCAGGCAACATGAATGGTATGTAATAAATCGCGGTAAGTCGTGTATGAGTAATACCAGCGATGACCTCGACTGTTGACAGCCTGGAGATTCCCCTCTAACGTCTCTCTTCTCCTGTTCATTTTCTCGGCTCTTTCAATTTAACTCCTTCCAACCACCTCTATCTCCATGTTCCCCGCCATGCCGATTCCACCATGACGTCCCGCGAAGAAGCCGTCCTCCTTCCCATCGATCCCTCCATCACCGATGAGAATGATTGGTGGGAATTCAGCCTGACCGATGTGAAGGTCATGAAACCGGGGAAGATGCTCTATGCGAACCTTCTGGATGCTAGCGAGCAGAATCCAGTGCAAGTGATCGGTGTGCTGGAGCAAGTTCCCAAGTCCCAGACACATCTGGGTGCGTATTGATTGAGTTACGAGGCGTTATACGCGCGTCTACATACCAGATTGCTGAACAGTCATTTTCTCATTAGTGCGCGAGGACAACGAGCTTCCGAAACGCATGATTATCGACGACGTTACACACTATGCCTACGGTCAAACCGAAGATAAAAGCATCGAGCTTTGGGTTGCCGGTAAGGCGGGATGGTACGACATCAGTCTGCCCGCCAGAGGCTTCGTGCCTACATACAACCGCATGGTCCAGGCCATTGACATGCTTTACTTCCTGATTGATAGACATCAGCAAGGGAAGAAACAAATCAACCCTTCCTTTCGGAGTCTTTGTGAACAGGTAAGCTCACCCTGTGTCTCGGTGCTGCGATCTTGGGGATGACATGACGTCTAACCTTCATTTGTTGGTAGTATGTCTACCATTCGTATGGCGGATGTGAAGATCGTCAGCAATCAGCCGAGGTTTTCGGAACACATGCTTCCTTCTTGTTGCGCTGTATGATCCAAGGCGACGGAGACGTGGACTGGAAGTCTACGAATGTCTTTGTTCATTTACGGCGCCAATTCAATGTAAGTACAAACCTTATGCACGAGCTTATAGGGGTACTGACATCAGCCAAGGATGAATATAAACAGCTCATGGAGGAGCTCTTTCCCTCATCCGATGACGAAGAGGATGCATCCAAGGATGAACCTGAAGTGTCAACCCCACGACACGACCCCGCTGCAATCTCAAAGTCACAAGCCGATGCCGTTTACCAATTACTTAAGGACCTCAGACAAGAAGGTCACTTGGCAAAGCGTCGGCTGCATCTCGACCTTCTGACAGAACGCTTGGCTTCCCGATTTTCTTTCAGCAACGATGACGCCGAAAAGATCATTGCAATCAGAGCATCTGCTGTCCTCGAAATGATGGAAGAAGAAGACACACCCGGCTTCAGATGGTCTCGCTATGTCATCCATCGAGAACTCACAAACGCAGCCTCGAAATCCGTCCCTCTACCTCGAGAACTCTTAACACCGTTGAATCCACTAGAGGAATCCAGCGATGACGAACGTTATGGCCGAACCCAGAAATCCGTGCTACGTCCCAAAATGAACTCAATCTCTAACAAAGTCACCGGCAAGCGGAACCGCAACGCCTCCACAAACCAACAAACAATCGAATCCAATGACGAAGACGAAGACGATCTAGATGACATGGATGAAGATGAAATCGAAACGCCCAGCAAAACCCGTGGCCATGAATTGATCAGGGATCCCTTCTCAACCTCAAGACCTCGGACCCGTTCATTCCTATCCGCCTCCAGTAGCGTTGGTTCCAGCACTCTCATGAAGAGCCTATTCAAAGACAACATTCCGAAATCATCCGCAGCTACATCTGCGCGTACTGCAAAATCAAAACCAAAGCCAGATCCAATCTCAGTCCCTATCCCCACCCCTGAGTCCTCGCAAATACTCGATGGATCCGGCGACGAGTCCGACTCTGATACATGGGTCTGCCGCATGCCTGGATGTGAAAAGGTGATTACAAACAGCAACAGAGAAGAGCGCAAGAAGGTCATCGGTGACCATGCCGGCGAGCACGAATGGGAAATGCAGATGAAGGTTGAATTAATGGAGACGGAGAGACGGATGCATTCCGCTTTCCCTGTTAGTAATCTCATGCAATACGTCGTCGACCAGCATGTTCAGCAGATGCGAACTGCTTTCCCGGAGATGTATTCTGCGCCCCAGAACGGTGGCCAAGAAAACGGCTTGGGCCGGGCCCTGGATGCTCCCTCTAGAAATGGAGATTCCACGCCTGAAAGTCAGGATTCAGAAGATGAGGAGATTGAAGATCTTGTGAATGGCAATTCCTGAATTGATCCTTTTTCTTGGCTGAATCTACGATCGTTATGTGTCACGAAGCCCATTAGGAGAGATGGGATTATGATTTCACGAAGATAAAGGGTATTTCATATCGGACTACCACCGGAGGAATGAAGATATCTCCTATATCTACATAATTCTCCCCTCTTCTCTCCTCTCTCCCTCTCTTACTCTCATACGCTCAGGTATGCCACTTCCCTCTCTATCACCACTAACCACCAAATCTAACCATCTCCACCACAGATACGAACCAAACAACATCCTCTCTCTCTTCCCATGAACGGTAGAATAAAGGTGTTAGGAGCTAGAACAGAAATGTACCGGGCAGATGGCGTTCTACGGACTAACACTGAATCTCGCTAGACATGGACAGGGACCAGCATGGTACAAAACGATGCCTACATACGATGAGTATTGCTCTTTGCTACAGAAATATAGTTGCTGGCTGTCTATACTTTGCTGGTGATTATTTTTCGGAATGGGCATGGATCTCCCCCATTTTTTCTCTCTACATACCCCGTGGTAGGTGGAATTACAGTAGGCTTCAATATAGCCTTTCTGAGATAAGATAGTACTGTAGTCTGTTGGTTTTTGGTTTTGTTTATGTGTAGTATGGTCTTTTATATTGTTCCTACAACAGGGGTCATAAGTGTGTAAGCAGTGCTATGAAGTATTGGACGGGTTATATGATTAAGCCTCGAAGCGAGTGTAACTTTTCATGCATTGTTTTCGTCCTGCTTTGGCCCATCTTTTTCGCCTCTTTTTCTTGCCCATTTTTGGGTGCCTCGGGTTCAGTATCTAGATCAAAAAAAGGTGGGCGTGGAAAGGACTTATGGCCCCTGTTGTATAGTTGTGAAATTGGGAGACGTGAAGAGTATGATGTTTTGATGTAACGTTAAGTTATAAGTTACTACACATAGGTCGGTCCAGAAACACCATATTTAAGCTGATAGGCTATCGATGACGGTTTAAGAATTTAAGAGCAAGACATGCAAAACGTACGGAAAAGATGAAAGACGAAAACCAGACGAATGCATACCTCGAAGTCCAGATGAAATCTCAATTGGACGAAAAGTCTAGATAGGGGAAGAAAAAAGAATAATAACAAGAAATGAAGTACTTCAAACACAAACGCTCAAAATGTCAAGGCCACAGACCACAGAGTGTATGCAAGGACGATAGACAGTCAAAGAAGGGACCAAAAGAATTGAAGAAGAGATCACGTCTGTATGTACATGACGGAAAGTAAATCGGGAGGAGAATCAGGAAGAGAAGTAGTTTTTTCACTCGGAGGGGTATACCAAGAACACATGCCACATATATCACACCACGTAGAAGACAAGAGAGAAACAAGGAGATAAGGTACAGGTAGGGAGAGAGAGAGATAAGAGATAGGAAACAGATGGTTGAAGGAGGGAGATGGGAGGCCAAGACACACACACACACAGAGAGAGAGAGAGAGAGAGAGAGAGAGAGAGAGAGAGAGAGAGAAAAGAAAACTAGATTTGAAGATGCTTATGTAGTGAAGTGTGAAAGGTAGAAAAAAAGGGCGAGCAGGCGGGCTCGAAACAAAGTGGTGGAAAATGAAGCGAAGAATATCAGTGTCAGGATTCCTGCCCTTTTACCGATGGAATTGTTTATTGCTGATGGGCGCTGTGGGCGTCAATGAGAGCTGGTGTCTGTTAGTTTATTATTCAAAGTTGAATTGAGATAGGTTACTTACTCTGCAGAGTAGACGCTTGTCCCTGGCGCGATTCGCAGGCACATTGGAGCGTATTTCCGTCCAGGAAGTCGAGCAATATGCTGTTGGGCAGTTCCTGCATATCTTCCTCGGGTAGACAAGGTTTCCGGAACTCAGTGAGATGGTAGCGTTTGGTCATGTTACGGGTGGCGGCGTCGTTGGTGCCGGGAGTGAGAACGACGAAACCATTTTCGTCGATGCGCATGACTCGTCGCTTCCAGAGTAATGTGTCTGGGAACTGGACATTGACTTCGCCGATATCGATAGGCTCGGAAGTACGAGATGTCGTGGATGTCGGGGCCTCGCTGGAGCTGTTTCCAAATGTGGGAGTGTACTCTTCTTCTTTGACTGGTGAGCTTAGGGCACCAATGATGCTACGACGGGAAGTCGATGTGATGGATGACATACGGCGCATGAGGCGCGAGGCGCGGGATGCCTTCTTGTCTTCGGAGGTAGGGGATGCAGATTGGGCAGGTTCACTAGTCCTTGGACGAGATGACAGAGAGAGTCGGCTTCCAGGGCGAGATGACGATGGACGACCAGACCCGGTAGATGACATTGACATGCTTCGGTCCTCAGGACGGGAGGCTTCGGCGATTGACGCCTGGGATGACGGAGGCTCATCAGCCATCTCGTGCTCAACAGTCAATGGACTGGCGTGGAGGCCGAGAACGTCAGACTCCGAGGGTTCACCTCCAGAGGAGCCGGGGGAGATATCTGAATCGCGCACAATGCGGGCCGTCACGGAGACTGAGTTTGCACGGCGCATGGCATCCACAGACATCCGACGAGGGTCGTGGCGTGGCGGAGTGGTTTCGTTTCCGCTGGGCAGTGAGATAGACGTGCGCTTGCGAAGGTTCTCAAAAGATGAGGCGGCCGACGGTCCAGACACGGTCGGACTCGAGCCCATAGGAGTGCCTTCCCGACTCGAGAGCCTCTCTAGAGCCTTAATACGACTAGAAATGCCAGAGGAGACATTGATCTTCTTGGCCATGAGTACCGGCGTAGGGGGGCCATTCTCACTGTAAGAGCTAGAGACCGATCTTCCTACTGCCAGCGCGTGCATGGCTGACGGGGATGCGGCAGAGTACGGGCTCGAGACAGCACGAGAGCTTCGCCAGCCATGGTCACCACCGTTAGGGGACTTGACAGAAATCGGTCTTGCCTCCTGAACAGTGGCTGATGTCAGCTCCTCCATGAAGGAATCGTCAGAAAGGAGGTTGTCGTCGTCAGAGTACTCCGGGGTGGGTACTTGAATAGGCTCCAAGTGGACCCGCCGCCTCTGGTCCAAGGGAAGAGGCTCAGCCTTTTGAGCAGGTGAATACTCAGGGGCGACTTCGTCTACCGGGCTAGGCTCGACAGAGACAGAAATGGGCGCGACCGGAAGCTCGTTGTTGGCGCTTTCAGGAGGGGTGATAGAGGGAGTGGCAGGAATGGGATCGGATTCAACTGGAGCAGGCTCAGGTGTGTCCAGTGAATCTGTCACGGGTGGAATAGAAAATTGGAAATGCGATTGGGGGTCTGATGCCGATTCTGGGGCCTCGGAGGATTCATTTTGAAGTGGGACGTCGACATTGCTAGGTGGGGCAAGATCAGGGATTGCGGAGTCCTCAAGGCGCGTTTCAGCTTCAGGGGGTGCCTGCGATGTTTCGGCCTGAACAGTCTCAACAGGTGTATCAACGCGTCCAGAGACTGTAGTATCAAGGGTAGGCGACATAGGCGAGGCTGGGCCAACCTCGGGCTCTGCCACAGGAACATCAGCCGTCGGTTCTGGCTGAGAAGACTCGAGAGGCTCGGAAGTCTGCACTACTTCGGATATTACGGCAGGCTGGTCCTGTGAAATAGACTCAGAAATAGCCTCCACGGCTGCTTCGGGAGTAGGTTCCACAGCTTCTAGAACAGGTTCGGGGGTAGCCTCAACTGGCTCAGCAGGGGGCTCAACAGTCGGCTCAGGGGTAGACTCGAGCATCGATTCAGGAACAGGTTCAGGTACAGGCTCGGGGGTAGCCTCAACTGGCTCAGCAGGGGGCTCAACAGTCGGCTCAGGGGTAGACTCGAGCATCGATACAGGAACAGGTTCAGGTACAGGCTCGGGAGCCAAAGGAGCTGCTCCCACCGGAGTATCTGGTTGATCTTGCTGAACCGTTTCGGTCCCAGGCCGTTCAAATTCGAGTTGAGGAGCCTCAGCAAGATTCTCCTTATTGTCCTCCAGTTCCTGAACCTCCTTCTCAGGCTTCTTTCCCTCAGAAACTTGCTTCTTCTTCTTCGTCTCTTCGGCCCGCTTCGCCATATTCTTCTTCCTCTGCTGTAGAGCCTTCATCAACCGCTCTTTCTCGGGACTCAATCCCGAAGAAGTAGACAAAGCCCCTAGAGACTTAGCACCCGGAGATAACTGAGGCCTGGAGATAGGAATCGATGGAGGCGGGACAAGCAGAGGTGGAACTGGTGGTACACGGCTAGTAGGCTTGACGGCGAAGGTGCTTCCCTGAGATCGAGGACGAGGGGCATCGGGGTTCGGCTTCCGCACGGAAGAAGAGCGCATATTGGTAGGCAGGGACGCGACAGGCCTCTGGTCTGCGTTTCTAGTGCTGCCCGCTGTGCGGGGTCTTCCACTGCTATCGACAGACGGCCTCGGTCCCAGTTTGACCTTTGGAGTGAATCCAGCGGCGCGTTCCAAATCTCGGAGTGAGGGACGCGCGGATTGAGTAGACATACGTGCCTCCTCTGACGGACGGGGGAATTCATCGAGGATATTTCGGTACCGGGAGCTGGAGCGTTCGAGGTCGCTTGACTTGGGGGACTGTGCTGCCGAGGATGATGCGCTCGGGCTTCCGCGAGGTTCACTGGGACTTCTACGAGACGGAGCTCTCGAGCTTGCCCGCGATGGCGGGGGCATGGGTTCAATAACAGCCCTATCGCTATCTGGCGACATCGTTTTTAGTTCCGGTGGGGTTTCTTCAGGGGGCGGCACTATGGTGGCTTCGGATTGGATGCTCTCTGATCGTTGATGGTTCGCAAGATGGGGAGGTTTTTGGGAATGTTGCACCGAGCTTGGGGCCTCATCCCTGGTGCCATTTTCCTCTGCATCCTCTGTGATTTCCATCAGCCGGCGCCGACGGAGGGAGCTCGACGAGGAAGTGATAGAGGTTGAAGCGGTGTGAAGGAGACATGCGGACGACAGGGCGCTTTCGGTGAGATCGGAGGCTTTAGACAAAGGGAGCACGGTGTCGTTCGGGGTAAACTTGTCGGTGACGGAGGTGAATTGGACATTGCTTCGAGCTGGGAGATGTTAGACTAATGCAGAATGCAGAGTGACTGTGCGCGTACCTTGTATCAGGCGAGATAACCCCTCCGGCATATAGCGAATGATCACTTTTCTGCGCCGATACTGGAGGAAGCCGTAGAGCGGCGAGGATTCCTCATAACCGTCAATGGCATTCCGGATCTCGGGCACCCCGCCAGTTCCTCGCTCGAGCAGGGCGACTTCATCTCTGGCCACATAATGCAGCAGAAACCTGAAACACAGGGGGTCAATAACGTGTCCCTGTCACCCGAAACGGTTCATATAGGGGTACTCACCACCCACCGGCGTCTGCCAGAGCACTCTGGTAGGCTTCAACGACAGCGGCGGTATCTAGCCCATTCAAAGACATGGTGTGGACCGCATGGAGAAGGGTAGGCGCAAAGCCGAGGGGGGAAATATAAAGGAGAAAATGTTCTAGGCCGGAGGAGTGTAAATGGCGCGGGAGGATCGGATCTCAAGATCGCGATGTGCCCAATCAAGGCGTCTAGCAAGTGAGGCAGTTGAAGAGAATCTTGATAAACGAACCTCTCACCTCTCTTGGAACGGCTCAGGGGTGGCTTCGGCAACTCCACCTTTGCGGTTATCCCAATTTAACTCGCCATCCTGAAACACGGCGTTCGGACTCTTTATAGTAGGGCCGGTTACACATTGTCATTCTACATTCCAACGTTAAGTTAACTTGGAATGTTTGACTTTAGTACTTTTGTAGAGGAATCCTGGTAGCGTTAGCACTTGAAAATTTGGAACTTGGATACTTCGGACTTAGGTACTTAGGTTAGGTACTTCAGGTACAAGTAAAGGCAAAGGATCGAAGGATCGGAGATCTGAGCGCATGTAACCTTGCAAATAAGGACAATTGCCATGGAACAGTTACAAGTTAGTATGGTAACTTATACATATGTTGAAGCATAAGTTAACTTACAACTTACTTTATCACCTCCCGCTGGACTCCGCCCACGGAGTCCCCCGAAGGCCGGGGATCCAAGATTCTACTTAATCACTGCAATCCCCCAAAACTCGAAGAATGTCCTCATTCACATTATGACCGACCTTCCCCCGCCATCGACGATCACCAACCTACCCCAGGAGGCTCAGCTCCGGGTTCTGGACACACTGTTCGAGCCCTCACCAGAGCTCCACCAGCTGATGATCCCCGTGCTCGCTCAGAGCTTCACAACCTACACGGCCCTGATCGATGCAGTGGGGGCTCGCATGTCTGCATTGTCCGCCCCGAATTCCCCAACCGACCGCAACGTGCTCTTTGGCATTCTGGGTTCTCATCCCCGGCTGGGCCGCGCCCCGGCCAACCCGGAGCATCTGAGTGAGCTGAGCAAGAAAGAACAGGCCCAATTGAACACGGGCGCAGAGGAACAAGCTGAAAAATTAATCGCGCTGAATGCTGAATATGAGGAGAAGTTCCCCGGCTTGCGCTTTGTGTAAGTTCGCCTGGTGAGGTGGTATGGTCGGGTCTAATTGTATACAGCACATTCGTCAACGGCCGGAGCCGGGACGTGATTATGGTGGAGATGCGCCAGCGCATTGATCGCGGTGATGCCGAGCGCGAAATCGAAGAGACGATTCAGGTGAGTTTGTTCTGTCTGGTTGTTGCTTCTATTCTGACTCGACAGGGAATGTGCGACATTGCGAAAGACCGAGCGAAAAAGCTACAGGCGCACATCTAGTGCGATCCTATCTAAGTACCCAAGTACTATAGACATACTGTATATAAATCTAAATAAAACGCAGTGGAGAGCCTTGGCCAATTCTTAGATCTTATCAAGCAAAAGGGTCTTACTCCACCCGTTTGATGTCATGTCCGCCATCCGGTGTTTGCCGATTTGCCGCCTTTTTTCCTTCGCATCCCACCTATGTATTTTGTAAATATCTCCATGCGCGAGAGATGGACGGAGACAATCTCGCTCTGCCAACGAGTCCAATAAGGGACAAGTCGCCCCTCCGAGCCGCGACATTCCCGGGTACGTTGCGATTCCAATCCGGGCCATAAACGTGCCTATCACGAGCGCATACAAAAACAAGGACATATGACAATGACCATGCTGACCGGTTCAGGCTCGGCCACTTCGGACGTCGCGTCGGGTTCGAGCCATAGTCAAGATGCGCGCAATGCCAAACGACCGCCGGCGAGTCCGCTGCAAGATACGAATGCCTTACACGAGGCGAAGACCGAATCAAATGCTATAGATCCGCTATCGCAGGTAGGTCTATACGGGGTCATGTGCTTGTCAGAGCTGACACGAGGACCGTGCTTAGCATATCATCCAACGTACAAATACGCAGAAATCCATTCCGTTGAAATTGCTGGGGAAAGCGTCATATGAAGCTGAAGCTGTGGGATCGGAGTACAGCCAACCTGAGCAAAGTCCAGCGCCGGGGGATTCATCACCAACCAAGCTCCCCAAGGAGAAGAAGTGAGTTTTCAGGTCCAGTCTGCCAGTCTTGTGAAACGTCACTCCGGCACCTTTGTGTCCCCAGGTGCATGCAGGATTCTGTGCGATCCCCCGCATAGTCCACTTTGGAAGCTTTCCCCCACCAGGGTCTGGCCGGCCATGCACATATATCAGCGACTGACCCATACCGTGTTCATCACCACAGAAAAGGCGTCTCCTTCCTCAGCCGAATCATCGGAAACAAAAAGAAGGACCAGCTTTCCGAGGCGGAAGATGAAACCTCAGAACCGGAGGCTAGCCGCATGTCCGTCGACACCTCCCACCCAATTGGATTTATAGCTCGGCACCCTGGACCTGCCAAATACCTGAAGGTGCGCGCACATTATAAGAAAGACAAGACATTCAACCGTGTTTTCTTGGCCCAGGAACTCGAGGGCGGCGGCCCACCGCCCAAAGTCGCAGAAAGACGGATATCTACGTCGTCCGCTTTGCCGCAGAATGGCGATCATACCGGACGGGCTGTTTGGGCGCTTGTGTTCTCCAAAGATGGCAAGTATTTGGCTGCTGCGGGTCAGGACCACAAGGTTCGAGTGTGGGCTGTCATCTCTACGCCGGAGGAGCGTGAGAATGCGAATGGAGAGGAAGAGCAAACTCCTGTAGATGCACAGGATACTGCTAAGCTGAAGGCGCCTGTGTTTCAGCCAACCCCAATTCAGGTGTATGAGGGCCACAAGGGGAGTATTTTGGATCTCAGCTGGAGTAAAGTATGGCTAAGCACATTAAAATTTGTAAATTTTTTATTGGGAAAAGACCATACTAATTGACGAACCAGAACAACTTCCTTCTGTCCTCATCGATGGACAAGACGGTGCGACTGTGGCACATATCTCGACCGGAATGTCTCTGCTGTTTCCAACACAGCGATTTTGTAACCTCGATACAGTTCCACCCGCGTGACGACCGGTTCTTCCTTGCTGGATCACTCGACACGAAATTGCGTTTATGGAGTATTCCCGACAAAAGCGTTGCCTTTGTGACTGCCGTGCCGGATATGATCACTGCAGTAGCGTTCACACCTGATGGAAAATATTCCATTGCTGGCTGTCTAAACGGTATGCTCAACATCTACGACACGGAGGGCCTGAAAGTATCATCCCAGATCCACGTTCGATCAGCTCGTGGGCGAAATGCCAAGGGCAGTAAAATCACCGGCATCGATACGATGATTTTCCACAAAGGCGACAACCGGGGTGAAATCAAGCTCCTGGTTACTAGCAACGACTCGCGCATTCGAATGTACGATTTCAATGCTCGAACCTTGGAGGCCAAGTTCCGCGGCAATGAGAACACCTGCAGTCAGATTCGAGCCACCTTCACAGACGACGGCAAGCACATCATCTGTGGAAGTGAAGATCGCCGAGCATACGTATGGCCTATTGGGCTAGTGGAAGGAGATTCCGAAAAGCGAGCTGTAGAGGTCTTCGAGACGCACTCCGCAATGGTGACAGCCGCCATCTCCGCGCCAGTCCAAACAAAACAAGCCCTAGCACTATCCGAAGACCCAATCTACGACATCTGCAACCCACCGCCAGTCGCCCTAATGGGCCCCGAATCAACAGAAACATCAAAGCAAAACGGAACAAGCCACAAGCGCTCAGCCTCCGCACCGCGACTATCAATAATCAGCAAAATGGCCCAGGAATCCCCCTCCTACCTCGCCCGTTCTAAACACCCAGGTGGAGACATAATAGTCATAGCCGACTACTCCGGCAAGATCAAAATCCTGCGACAAGACTGCGCCTACCACAAACGCCGCTTCGAAAACTGGGACGCAAACTCAACCATCTCCCGCCGCATCCTCCGCCGTTCAAACTCCGGCCGCCGCAGCGTAACCTCCTCAATCGGCAAAGAATCATCCCACAAAACACCCTCCGAGCGCATTATCTCCTGGCGCAACTCTGTCATCCGCCAAGGCCGCTCCAGCACCGACGGTTCCCGCTCCGGTCTACGCACCCGAAGCCCATCCCCACAGCACCGCAACGCGACATTCCGCCTCTCATCCTCCAGGCCATCAAGCCTAGGCCCAAACGAATCCCTCAGCGCCTTCACGCACTCCCCGCCCCCCTCACCGCGCCGATCACGCCTAGACATCCGAGGCACAAGCGAAGACGCAACGCGGACGAACCACACCCGCGGCCAAAGCAATGGCACCGGCAAGGGCGCCAGCAATGACCATGCCAATGGAAACGGCTCCTCCACCATAATCCCACCCCCAAACAAAGTCGCCTCGTCATCCGCCGACCTCGTCGCCAGCGGAAAAAACAAAGACAACCCGCTCTGGCTACAGGGTGACCACAGCTACGCATACTGGAACAAGATCACGCATGATGCATTGGCAATGCGCTCGCGCAATTCAAATGAGCTGCTTAGTCCGGATAGTGTTCGTGAGCGCAAGGTGAGTACTGCGGGGAGTATTTTGAGTAGTGATTATACTTCTTCGGCTGGGGGTGAGGAGGACGATGTGCTTAGGTGTGATAATTGTCGTTGTACGAGTTTTCGGAGTGTCAAGGGGAGGGATGGGAAGCAGAATCTTATTTGTTCGCAGTGCCATCGGCCTGTTTCTTAGGGTTGGATATGGATATGGATGGAGATTTTTAGTTTGGGTTGGTTTGATTCGATTTGCACTTTCGGCGTTTTCCTTTTTCCATTTCCTTTGGATTTGGTTCAGGGGATGTTGTATTATGGTGGTGTTTTCTGTTTTCTTTGGATATCAGTCTCTTTTATGTGTACATTTTATGTGATTTATGCTTTGAGGATATGTATAGTATAAGATACGATGAGAATATGAGACATGTATGAAGATATATGAGTTTCATGGTACTTTACTAGAATTCAGTCTCGGTCCTGGAACCGAGACTCCTTGACTTCCTTCCATAGCTAG